TTTTGTGATTAATTTATTTTTTAGTTGAAGGATAATTGCTTTTCAGAATTTTGTTGTTTTCTGTGAAACCTTAACATGAATCAGCCATAGGTATACATACATCCCCTCCCTTTTGAACCTCTCTCCCATCTCCCTCCCCATCCCACCCCTCTAGGTTGATTCAGAACCCCTGTTTGAGTTTCCTGAGCCATGCAGCAAATTCCCATTGGCTGTCTATTTTACATATGGTAATATAAGTTTCCATGTTACTCTTTGTATTTTATTTTTACTTAGAAAAACTGAAGAAACTTTCTGGCCAACCTAATATTTCATACCCACTAAGATGACTACAATGCAAAAGTCAGAAAACAGCAAGTGTTGGCAAATATGTGAAGCAATCAGAACCTACCCTCACATACTGCTGATGAGAATGTAAAATAGTGCAGCCACTTTGGAAAACTCTGTGGCAGTTCTCCAAGTTGTTACACATAGTTACCATATGAACTAGCAATTCCACTCTTGTATATATATACAAGTGAGATGAAAACATAAGTCCACACAAAAATTCATACATGAATGTTTCAGTCAGTCAGTTCAGTCACTCAGTCGTGTCCAACTCTTTGCGACCCCATGAATCACAGCACGCCAGGCCTTCCTGTCCATCACCAACTCCCAGAGTCCACCCAAGCCCATGTCCATTGAGTCAGTGATGCCATCAAGCCATCTCATAGCCATCTCATCCTCTGTCGTCTCCTTCTCCTCCTGCCCCCAATCCCTCCCAGCATCAGGATCTTTTCCAATGAGTCAATTCTTCGCATGAGGTGGCCAAGGTATTGGAGTTTCAGCTTCAACATCAGTCCTTGCAATGAACACCCAGGACTGATCTCCTTTAGGATGGACTGGTTGGATCTCCTTGCAGTCCGAGGGACTCTCAAGAGTCTTCTCCAACACCACAGTTCAAAAGCATCAATTCTTTGGCACTCAGCTTTCTTCACAGTCCAGCTCTCACATCCATACATGACTACTTGAAAAACCATAGCCTTGACTAGATGGACCTTTGTTGGCAAAGTAATATCTCTGCTTTTAAATATGCTATCTAGGGTTATAGCAGCATAATAGTCAAAATGTGGAAACAACCCAGATGTCCATAAACTGATAAACGAGTTTGAAAATGTGGTATATTCATACAATGGGATACTATTTAGCAATAAACAGGAAAGAAATATGGCGCACTAAAACATGCTCCAACACAGATGAACCTTGAAATCACTGTACTAAGTGAAACCTAGCTGCAAAACACCACATGGTATGTGATTCTATTCATAGAAAATGTCCAGAATAGGTAAATTAAAGAGACAGAGAGTAGATTAGTCATTGTTTAATTCTGGGCTGGATAGAATAATAAGGTAATGATAGTAAATAGGTACATTTTTTTGAGGTGATGAACATGCTCTAAAATTGACTGTTGATGCTTGTGCATATTTGTAAATATACTTAAAATCATTGAATTGTGCATTCTAAATGGGTTAATTATAAGCTATATAAATTACATCTCAATAAATTTTTTAAAAGAGCTTGGTGGTGGTTTAGTCGCTAAGTCATGTCCGACTCTTGTCACCCCATGGACAGTAGCCTGCTTGGCTCCTCTGTCCATGGGATTCTCCAGGCAAGAATACTGGAGTGGGTTGCTATTTCCTTCTCCAGTTAAAAGAGCTTATTCAAGTGTTATTTTTTTATGAAGGCATAGTGACCTTTAAAACAAAATCATATATGTTTGATAATATTCATGGTTTAAAATATTACAAAATTTTAAACAAAGAGTTATAACTAAGTAAGAGCTATGAAATATACCTAGATTCTTCTAGTTTGACCAATTATTACAGTGTAATTCAGGCAAGTTACTTAATCTGAAAGTTGTTTGATATGAAAAACAAGTGTAAAAGGCTTGTTGAAAAGGGAGTAAGTGAACCATGAAGTAAGTTCATACATGTTATAATAGCATGTATGTTATGTTCTATGCTATTCTTATTATTGTTACTAGCTGATAATTCAATGTTATTAACTTATTACAATTCCACATTTCCATGTGCATTGTTGCTGATATGGAGGTGGTACAACTATGGTCCCAGTTTCAAGAAGTTGGCAAATTCTGTGGTGCAGAACACAAAAGCATAAGAGTATCAGAGGAAAGACAATAAAGGCTAGAATAAATAAGGAAGGTCATCTCATGCATGTGAGACAAAAACTGTAGGAGGAGAAAGTGAATTTCAGGATTGGATGGCAAACTGAGTGGTAGAGGTGGAAAGAAAGATAGTATCAGTGATATAGTGAAGAGATTGGTTTGGGTGCGGATGCTAGAAAGAGATAGGGAACATCTTTGAATGGGTACAGTTGGACTCTGCTAGGCATGATAGGCCAAAGTGTTTAGATATGCTGGGATACTAGCAGTGCTTTTAAGTTGTGGTTCTCTTAGAGAAATAGAATTAGTTGTGTATTGCAACTGTTGGGTAACAACTCTTATATTTGAGAGTTGGGTTAAATAATCCCTTAGGCAAGTAGAGGCATTATTTATCTGTGGTTCCAGTAGGTCTCTGAACAAGAAACAAAAATCTCTGCTTTAGAAAGAGCTGTCAGAGAAGGAGGTGGGAGGGGGGATCGGGATGGGGAATACATGTAAATCCATGGCTGATTCATGTCAATGTATGGCAAAAACCACTACAATATTGTAAAGTAATTAGCCTCCAACTAATAAAAATAAATGGAAAAAAAATAAAATAAATAAAATCACTGAATAAAGCACTAAATCAATTTTAGTGCTCCTTCGTTTACTCATCTATTAAATGATGGAGTTCAACAACAACAACAACAAAATAGAAAGAGCTGTCAAAAATTGCACCAGGTAAGTTAAACAGACAACGAAGACTGTTGAGGATTTTTGCAGTAGAGACCAAAGCTACAGGAGTGGAAGAAAGAAATTGAACTCTTCTCCTCCAAAACAAAAGATGAAAGAGTTTTTAAGTGCTGTTGTGAGCTAGTGGAAAGGTATTGAGAGATACTGGAGGCGAAATTAGTCTGTATGATTAGGCCATCTGTGTTTACTGCATGCTCAGTCACAACCAGCTCTTTGCAACCGTTTGGACTGTAGTCTGCCAGGTTCTCTGTCCATGGGATTTTTCAGGCAAGAATTCTGGAATTGGTTGCCATATGCTCCTCCAGGGGATTTTTCTGACCCAAGGATCCAGGGGTCGAACCCCAGTCTCCTGGTTTCTTGCGTTGCAGGCAGATTCCTTACCACTAAGCCATGGGGAAGCCTTCTGTGTTTATTCATTGGCAGCTATTGAAGTTAGGCTCCTACCGTCCCATAGAGACTAAGCAACAGAGGTGATATTTTTCTTGATTATTACATTTCAAAGGAATGACTCCCAGGTCCCTGAGAAAGACATTCCTGAATTGTAGAAGATTTATACTTCAAAGGAACACAGAAAGAATTCACAATTCCAAGTTTTCTAAAGTAACTGCTCTAAGAAATAAGAGGTCAAGGGCCTATAATCAGGAGAAACCATTCTAAAGTTAGTCAAGCTGAAGGAAACATTAGGGCCTATCTTGATCATAACACCCTTTTTAAAAAAAAATTTATCATGTGGCCCTTGGATGCTGATAATCCTTGTAAATATATATGCATTTACACAATGTATTATCTTTAAACCAAAAATGTTCTGGGTATTGTTATATGCATTATAAACTAAAGGGAGATCTTTACTTTGTTTTCTCTGAAACCCAAGTATTTATTATTACTTTTTCCTTAACAAAAAAGAACTATGCTTTGCGGGTTTCCTTCTTTGGGCAATGTTTTAATGTAGAAGTGAGCTTTATTAACTGCTACAAGTTCTATTTAATTTCCATTTTCACTTAAGAAACTAAAGGGACCTTCAGGCTGACTTTGTGCTGGTAATTAGGGCAACTGAATCTGAATCTCTGTGTTTGAGTCGTGGTGCATATATTGCTTTCTTTGTCAAGTTCATCTTTATTCAAGTGAGACATCCTACATTTGTGAATGACTCAGACAGTAATAACAGCAGTAGTTAAATTTTACATTTCTATTTTTTAGTCATGAAGTCCTGTCTGACTCTTTGAGACCCCATGTGCTATAGCCCACCAGGCTTCTCTGTCTATGGAATTTTCCAGGCAAGAATCCTGGAATGGGTTGCCATTTCCTTCTCTTACATTTCTATGGTGTTTTATAATTTTTAATCACTTTCACACATAAAATCTTAGTTTGCCTTCTCAGTAAACACTGTAGTAGGATTTCTAACAAGAATTTTATAGTTAGTTGTCCTACAGATGGAAAGACTTGACTTTGGGCCTTTTTACTCCTAACTTAATGTCTAGTTAGAAACCGAATAATTTTTCAGATTCAAATTTTCAGCATAAATTTGAAAATCACCATGTTCTTCTCTTTTCAAGTGATTAAATTGGGATAGGTCTCACATATTCAATTTATGTTTGTGATACAACTTTAAGGAGGCTCATAATTGTCGAAGCCTATTAATATCAGTTGGGTCCTTTGATTATAGGCATAAGGAGTCAAGCTAAAGGCACATAGTTTGTTTGTTTTAAATAAAGATTACAGTAAAATATGATCAGCAAAATTATTTTTATGCTTCTGGGGCTAAAACTCAAGTATAGCCTATGGTGTTGACAATGAGAAATAATTTTTGAAAAAAGTCTGAATATCTTTGGGAAATTTTCTACATGTCTGATCTAATTTAATAAGTATCTCTATGTCATTGTGTGTCCAAAAGAAACTATTGGGTTGGCCAAAGGTCTGCTGGGATTTTTCCATAAAATGTTATGTAAAAACATGAATGAACTTTTTGACCAACCCAATATTTAACACATTATGAATATAGGCAGAAAAACATATTATAGATATTTCAATCTGAAATAGATATCAAGAAAAATGTCTAAAAATTATGCCATTAGCTTGATCTCTCATGTTTTAATTTTTTTTCTGTCATCAGGCAACCCCGCCCAGCCCACTTCTCTCCACTACATGAATCCTTATCAACTGAATGCCTATGGTATGGCACTGAAGGCAGTGGGAGAAATCGTTCAAGATTATGACAGTGATAAAATGTTCCCCGCTTTAGGTTTTGGTGCAAAACTGCCTCCAGATGGAAGGATATCTCATGAGTTTGCTTTGGTAAGAATACATGGAAATAATTGATATTTTGAAAAATAAATAATATTTTGGATCTTTTCATAGGTTCCCTTCTTATGCTTTAATTACTCATGTAGCAACTTCTTATGACTAAACAATCAGCTCAGTTTTAGTGAATGATTGATTTAGAAGTATGATATTAATGGGAAAAGAGACAAATAGATTAGTAACAAATCTACCTAAAGTGCATATGATTTAAAACCTATTCTGGTTTCTGTTGCTGCATAACACCTTCCATTATATTCATGATTTGTGGGTCAAGAATTTGAGCATGATACAAGGAGAATGGTACGTTTGTTCAAGATACCTGGGGCCACACCTGGGATGCCTTGATTGGCTACAGATGGCTGGAATTGTTCTACTGGAGCCATATATCTGTTCCATTCTGGCTGTTGGTTGGATTCCTTAGTTTTCTTCATGTCATATCTCCTGGAGCTAGTACATTCACTGAGATGTCTCATTTGCTCATGACTAATGCTTACAACTAGGATGGCTGAAATACCTGGATTCTCTAGGCATCTTTCCTTCTTTCTACATACAGTTTGTCCATGTGGTTTTGTGGGCTTCCATCACAGTGTAGTGATCTCAAGATAGTCATATTTCTTACACAGCAATATTCTAAAAGGCTGGGGAAGAAATTTCAAGGATTTATAAGTCTCAGAAAGTTATTTCTCCTACATCCTTTTTTGTCAAGCAAGTCAGTAAGTTCAGCACAGTTTCAAGATAGTGGAAGTAACCTTCACCTCTCAAGGGGAAGGGTATCAAAGAATGAGTAGCTATCCTTATTCTTCCATCTTCCAAAATGTCATTTCTTTTCAAATATAAAGGATCAGTTATTAGTAGAATTATTATTTTTCAAATGTAAAGCAATAATTATAGGTACAATGAATTATGGTTTCAATATAATGGAGTAGATGTGACTCAAATATTTATCTATTTAATGTTTAATTTACATAAATCCACTCCTGTTGTACGATTACAAATAAGCAATGTACTGTATTCTACCTTTAAAATAAACTTCACACAGATAGTGCTTATAGGCCCAATCAGCCTTATTCTCACTTGCATTTTTTGATAAAAATAATGGGGAAAACTATGTGGGAATGGTTAGATATCATTTTAGAAAAAATTAAAATTTTCCTAATAGAAATGCCTCCCTGCTTTACCCTATATTTTTTGAAATTAAAGTCTTCTGTGCCCAATATTTTTGTAGGTATTTTTTGTTGTTTTTATTCTTGTTACAAAAATAACATGTGGGATTTTTTTTTTTTTAGTTCTGCAAGAAGAATAGGCAAATAATTCAATTATTTACTAATTACTGAGTATCAAACCAGGTACTTTATGCTCATTTCTTGTACAATCTTCATAAAATTCTTGTCTGATAGGTATGTCATGAGATGAGTGACACATCACACTACTATCAAGAGCCACTCATATTAAATACAGTGAAAAGAGTACCCCCAGGAGTTGTATAATCTAGCCCAGAGTCACAGAATTTAATCAGGTTTCCAGAAGACAGGACTTGAACCCAGGTCAGTCTTATTATAGAATCTTTGTTCTTAACCACTACTAAACCACATTTTATAAAAGCGCCTATAATAATACCACCTCTTAGATATGTCCTTTATGAACCCCATTATGTATACACACACACACGCACACACAGACTTTCAGAAGCTCCTGTATGATTAAACTTTATCTTCTTTAATATATTTTAAGAGTTGGATTTTAATTTTTTTCCCATATGTATTCTTGATTTTTCTGTTCCATCATCCCCATTTTGGGAAAGGTTACTAGAAGTTTTAGTTTTCTTCTGTAAAATAGCCCATATGCTACCACCCCCAATGTCATATAAAAATGAATATCTGTTGGGATTTTGTTGTGTCCTAGAGAATTAAATTTTCCCAGAAACTTATAAGACCACGAAAATCACTCATGTGATCCTATGTCTTGTGTGCCTCAGGAAAAAGGTCCTGACTCTTTTAAAGCTTAAGAAAGGAATAATAAAAAAAAAAATTATGCTAAACTAAATGATATTAATTTTCCTTAATTAATTTTCCTTCCACAAGTTTTTCCTCACCTTTGTGCGTGATTTTTTCCATTTGTTCGCTAATTCTCTCCTTTTCTGCTTTTCCTGCCTCTATATTCATTCCTTACAACCAAACCTATGCAAAGGAGAGACTTTTTATTATTTGCATCTTAAATTATTCTTTGAACCAAACTCAAATATTTATAAAAGGTCGCACTCTAAATTTATGAAAAATAGTTTCTAAAATTGGTGAAAGTGATGATGATAATGCCTCGTCTTTAATTTTACTTAATAATTATATGACTTTAACTTTTTTCAAAGCACTTTTTTCTTGAATAAGACAGACAAAGGTTAAGTAAGTCTTCAGAGAGATAGTACTCCATTTAATTTTTGTGTTAACTTCTTCCTAAATAACTGCAATATATGACTGTAGATGCTGAAAATGGCAAATAGAAAAACTTCAGTCCATGTCAATCTGGCAATTAGTGTACTACTTAATGTTAACAAACCCTCATATTTCCATGGTAAAAATTTGTGATATATATATTAACAATCATTAATATGTTTATCGCACTGAATTCAAGTAATCTTCAGATAGCAAGGGAGGTGTCTCACTATTCACACTGCTCACTGAAGCCGGGGTAGGTAAGGGGCAAGTGAGGAAGCTGGAAGAAGATTCAAGGAGCCGTAGGAACTGCAGACGTGTGTATTCTCTGGTGGCTGACCCAGCAGACACAGCCACAACACAGCTGCACGGGCTTTTTAGGTGAAGCTTGTATAGCTCAAACTACCGCACAAGTGCACTCATCTCACACGCTAGTAAAGTAATGCTCAAAATTCTCCAAGCCAGGCTTCAGCAATACGTGAACCGAGAACTTTCAGATGTTCAAGATGGATTTAGAAAAGGCAGAGGAACCAGAGATCAAATTGCCAACATCCGCTGGATTATCAAAAAAGCAAGAGAGTTCCAGAAAAACGTCTATTTCTGCTTTATTGACTATGTCAAAGCCTTTGACTGTGTGGATCACAATAAACTGTGGAAAATTCTGAAAGAGATGGGAATACCAGACCACCTGACCTGCCTCTTGAGAAACCTATATGCAGGTCAGGAAGCAACAGTTAGAAC